TTGTTCTTTGTGCAAATGAACTTTTAAATTTAATTGATTTCAAACATAAAACAAAACAATCAGAGATTAGGTCCATTGGGAGAACAGGCCTGTGAGCAGATACATACTACACAATGACTAAGTCATCACTTGTATGTCATTGAGTTTAAGGAAGGAGACTATGTCTCATCTCCTTTTAAGTACAACATGTAGAATCTGAATGGCATGTTACAGTCCCATGAATATATTCTCCTCAATAACCAAAAGTACTTTATATTCACATAATACTTTGAGTCCATTTCTTATCCAAAATCCAAAAGCCAGCACATTTTAATAGGCTATCAACTATTTTGCCTTCGTCTCTCTTTTAAACTGCAAAATAATAATAACTAGGACCATTTTTGTACAAGAACACATGAAAATATGACATAGATGTTGAAAAGAGAGCCAAGCATACTGTTCACATTGCCTCAGGAGTGTCAAAAGGAATAGCTTGTACTTTCAAAGTAGAAAAACCAATTACAACATCAAAAACTATTTTTTCTTCCTTTAAAGAAAAAGTGATGTACTAGATAAGTAGAAGTCTCATAGCAATGTCACTTATTTTAATAGAACTTCACATTTTAGTTTAACTCCAGGCTCTGCTCATTTCATTGTTGGGCATCACCTGAAAAGTCACTCTAGACATAATCTGCATCTTTAGCCAGTATGCCGAGCAATTTAATTGGCTTTCCTAAGGAAAACCTAACACTACTTCTTATAGATAATCATTTAGTAGGAAGATATGCACTCAATTTATCCCTACACATTTGCTATAAGTTCAAAGAACTGAGAACCTGGATTTTTCCACTGAAACTCAGACAATGTAGAAGGAGGGGTACTCCTTAATTTTGTCAATTTGTCTCTGTTTTTCTGGATGTCAATCCAGAATTTGTGATACAAACAAGGATAGTTTCATAGGTTGAATTTTCCTGAGCTAGCTCAAATATTAATCTGAGGTTTGAAGCAGTGACTGCTGGACCAATATTGATATACTTCTCAAACAGACTCTAGGGAATTTTCAAATGCCCCAAAAAACACATCATACCAGTCACTGTAGTTTAAAGGTCACACATTTTCCCCCCAACACTTTTGGTTGATCTTTTCAGCAAGCACCTCAGGAAAACACTGTTCTGATATAGTATTTTGCATTTGGCTGGAGCTTGATGCATCTTGGTTGGATGAATAGATAGGTGCATTCTTTCAATACTATTTTTAGATAGACAATTTCAATGTGTTCTAGTGTTATTATGAGACTTATTTAATTATTATTAAAACACAGACTAAGGAAGGTCATAGACTGGGCTACTCAGCATTACTAGCCTAGAGATGGGATTTCATATCTGACTTCTTCATAAAAGAGCCTATAACTTATTTGAGGATACAGTAGAAAAGTAAGATACAGTACAGAAAATGGAATCAGAATCTTTGAACGATTCTAGCTACATTTCAAGAAACATCTGCTCGGGGAGATTACTTCCCAGTGGAGAAGTAAATAAACTCTGAAACAAGGCACCCTGTCTTCCTGAAGAGCCCACAGCTGCCTAGTGGGTCTGTAATGTGGATACTGAGTACTAGATTAATTTAGGCAGGAGTGTAATACAAAGTGAGTCTCCACCACTGTGGTTTGTTTCCATCTGTAAATTCAAATATCATGGGATAGTGTCATGCATTTGTTATGAACTGAATAAAGCAAACTTGAATGGAATCTGGTCTGGAAATAGGTACCAGTTTGCTTGTCTGAAGATCATATCTCCTTGTTTACATATTTGTTATTTACTAAAATAAAATAAAAGTGCACAATTCTTAAATTTTCAGGGAGAGATATAGAGGTGTGTGTGTGTGTGTGTGTGTGTGTGTGTGTGTGTGTGTGAGAGAGAGAGAGAGAGAGAGAGAGAGAGAGAGAGAGAGAGAGAGAGAGAGAGAGAGAGAGAGGGAGAGAGGGAGGGAGAGACGGGGTGGGGGGAGTGTATAATAGGGACCTGATTTTTCTTTCAGAGAGCTTCTCTAACCCAATGCAATTTAAGCTTGGATCTAAGATGACCAGAAGTTAATTAGGTAACGTGTAGAAAAGCCTTTCAATTCAAGTGAAAAGCACATGGGAAACACTTGAGACAGGTAGAGATGTAACACACTCTGTGAATAGAACGTATGCCAGTGTGAATACTGCAGTCAGCAAAAAGATGAGGGAAATGTGATGTTCAAAAGGCAGGCAGGTGCTAGATCATGCAGAGCCTGACTTTGCATTTTATCCTAATGCAAAAGGAGAGAGAGATTTGATCTGTTTTCTTTTAACAGATCACTTTAGCTGCATTCACAATATGGTATGAGGCTGACAGTGGAAGTGGTGAGAACAATTAGGAAGCCCTTATAGGGAGGAGATGATGGGCTTTGATTGAAATGGTAGAAGTAGAAACAGTGGGACGTGAATAGACATGAGGTGTTATTTTGAGGGTAGAATCAATAGGACCTGAAGATGGACTCAGTGATGGAGGTGGGAATTCTAATGCACTAAGTTATCATTCTCAAGTCTGTGACTTCAGCCATTGGGCCAATGTTAATGTTATTCATTGAATTGGAGATCGAGGAAGGAAGAGCTAAGTGGGTTTGAATACTTTTGGTATCAGTGTGTTGCTGAAAAAGCCTCTAGAATGGGTGCACATATACATCGGTGTAGAATTTTTTTTCTGCTAGTGAGATAAAAGAGAAGATAGTGGTCAAATGAAGGAAGGGAAAAGGAGACAGAATTAGAATGAACAGAAAACAGAATCCCCAAAGTCATGGGGAAGGTAGGTGTGGTTTGGGGACTGGCACATATCGAAATCACTCAGGGCATGTGATTTGAAAAGGATATGCTGAACAAACCACAGTGCTTTGATCTGAAAAACAAAGAAATGTCTTCTTGTTTTCATCATAATGATTACAGGAAGTAGACGGAAAAGAACTATGTCTGATGGGTTCACATCAGAGTTCGACCCTGACGGCTGTTTATTGGTGATTTTTTTAAGGAGGGATCAATTGAGATCCTCAGTGGAGTGGATAGGAATCTATGTAAAACTCACATTCATTAAAAAAAATACACTGACAGTGAATCAGAAAAACAGAGATGAGAAAAAGATAAAGATAGAGAAAAAATAAAAATAAATGGGTGGAGAGATTTTCCAGTGGGCAGAGATGTCTCTGACATCATGCCTGTGTCAGGGCAGGCAGGAACTCCTCCTGTTCTGCCCGGTCATCTGTCCCTTGGGCTTGAACCCCACAGATCTGTCTTTTAGTGGGTGATCTGGGACAAAGCAGGTAATTCTCAAATCTTTACCTCCTCATTTAGAAAAGTAAAAGGATGACCACATCTGTCTCATAATCTGAGTCTGAGGATTGAAGGAAATAATTCATAAGAAGTTCTTTAGCCAAGTGCCTGGCTAAAGAAGAGTTCGGTGTACCAAGCCACCCATGTGGAGCTGACCACAGGGAGCTGACCACAGGAAAGTCGTTACTGTGGTGTAAAGATCTTCCTTTCTTCCCACGACTATGAAACCTCTCAGCCCTTTAGTTTCTAACTTGTGTAGGTCACCACACCAGTAAATAGTTTTTTTTTTTTTTTAATCATTAAAAAAGTAGGATTTAATTAATATTTATAAATCACTATAAAGTGTTGTTCAGCTTAAATTACTGCAATAAGTGACATTTTTCCAGCTGATGAGACAGTCCAAATTTTGTCATTTATTTCTAGAAATGCTAGCTAGAACATAAAGTTCGCTTTTTAGTTTTGTGAGAGATGAAAACATGAAAAAAAATAAAGATGTTTTAAATGAAGATCCTTTTTTTTTTTTTTTGGTTTTTTCGAGACAGGGTTTCTCTGTGTAGCTTTGCGCCTTTCCTGGGACTCACGTGGTAGCCCAGGCTGGCCTCGAACTCACAGAGATCCGCCTGGCTCTGCCTCCCGAGTGCTGGGATTAAAGGCGTGCGCCACCACCGCCCGGCATGAAGATCCTTTTAATGTATTTATTTTCACCTTGAACCATTCTAAAATCTGTATGTATTTTTCTCAGCCCTGACAATATTATGAAGACACTGAGTCTGAAAACGTAATTCAATAAGCACCCACTCTGCATAGGAATCTTCCAACTGGGCTCTCCATCTAGACTGAATTGCAAGCACCTCATGGAGCACTAGATTTTACTTTTTCTACCTTGCTTTCTCTGTGACTCTGGCTACTACTTGATAACAGGGTTTTCATTACTCATGTGCATGTTTTAGGATATTAAAGCAGAATTGTGTCCAGTCTTTGGATGTAGAAGAATTTGCTTGCGAAGTTGTTATGGAAAAAACTCAGAACATTCTAAGGTTAAATTTGATCTGTGTATTTACTGGCAAGATCATGCTGAGGGACATCCCATATCCTTCCTTGACTTTTATATCTTTACATATGCAGGGATGAATTGAATAAGACAACATATGTAAAAACCTAGCACGTAACAAAGTGTAAATATTGTTTATGTTCACTGTGGTTATATAGAACCAATTAATTTTATAGTTTTAGGAAACTGGTTAATTTCTCAGGAAGCCAGTTATATGGTGACTTTAATATTCTAAATGGCATGTTAAATGACAGTAATAGTATGTACATATTTAGGTCATTGTATAAGAGGCATAGTGAACATTTATTAAGTATTATTTAAAATACTCAGTAGATGTTCTCTTTTATCCCTCTAATGAAGGAAATGGTGCTGGAACAATGTAATTATTTCCTTATTGAACACGTGGAGCTCTACATGATCATGTCTGAAAGTGCTTTATGAGCTCAGCAGCAAGGAAAAAAAAAAGCAATGTTCTTAATTTCTCCCATTGTTCCATGGAAGCAGAACATCTCTCCACAAGGAAGGTGCTGAGTGCAAACACAAGTGAGCGGAGACGGATTCCACCCACCAATCCTTGTGGAAGCACATGCAACTGGAGCCGAAGTGAGGAAGCGCATGCAGTACCTGGTCATGTCAGAGTCAGGGAGCAGGCCTAGGTGGTAGTGGGGGTAGGGAGCTGAGAGGAGGAAGCTTTTGTCACACTCAACAGGGGAATAGTGCCTGGGAGAAGCAGGCTTATCACATAGTTTGTTCACAGTGCTGTAAACAGGTTCCGGAGGCCTGGTGACACAAGAGGAAGAGAGAGATGCATAGTTAGCACACAGGAGGACCAATCACGCAGCTAGCAGCATTTCACTGTATTTCAAAGGACAAACTCAACTTCACGACATTTTATCATTACGTCCCAGTACAAATCAAATTTTCGCTTATACTTAATAAATCACACATTATGTTTAGATATAGTTATACATGTATTGACTCTCTTCTTTAGCCTCAGTTGTGAGTAGATATGGCACCACCCAAGTGTTTAGTCCAATGTCGCCTGAGTGGAGAGTTTTTTGAAGAGGCTGCTGACAGGGAAGTTGATTTTGCTAGGGTCTTTGTAATTATTTCCTACTGAATTCCTCCCTCTGTTAACTTGAGACTCAAAAAAAAATGATGACTGGTACTTCAATAACTATCTTGGACCATGGAGCAACCTAGAGGATAAAGGTAAATTATACAGGCAGTTGAGCATAAAGGATGAGCCAGTGGAGCCAGTGTCACTGAGGACATGTGGGGAGATTATAGTGCTTCTGGGTTCCTTTCATGTGGGATAAAAACACATTATCTAGTTTAAGGTACTGTCACCTTTTGCTATATAAACAGGAGCTAAAATTCAGATGTACTTTTATAACATATAAGTTTGTAGCTTTAATACAAAGAAATAGTTATCTTAGCCTAGCATAAGGGCTAATACATTTAGTTACATTTGGATTCACTCCTACATAGGAAAATAAAAGACATGCTACTTTCTTACTATGTAATTTGGATTTGTACTATTCAGAGAACTCACTGAATCTCTGTGTTAAAACATTTCTGGAATATGTTCTAAACTGCCAGCACAGAATCTTGGAAAAAAGGAGTTAATGAATATAAAACATTTCCATGATGATGCAACCCCGGTATCCTATTTGCCCAGGAGAATTGATTCAACTTTCAGTCTGATGTTGACTCTATAGACCAAGAAAATGATGTTACCATTTTTCTTAGTTCAGTTGTACCATATTTAGAGAAAAAATAAAATCAAAACTGACTAATGTATGTCCTCAAAAATATTGTAGCTATATTGTATTCAGCTAAAGATAAATGCTTTGTTTTCTGAATACCATATTACATTCAAGATGATGAAAATGGACTTTGTACTTTGCCAAGAGTTGAACTTTTTAAACTTTTACTTATATTTTCATAATAATTCTATGTCTGTATAATATTATTAAGTTATTCAAGAATTAAATAATTCAGTGTTTGGGAAAAGCTGAAACACACTGCTTTTTTTCTTGCTTATAGTCACCACCAATATTCCTTCATCATAAATTAATTACTTATCTATGCTTAATCGGGTATCATCCAAAGCCTTGTGAAAGCAGAGGTAAATTACTGGTGTCACAGTTTCATGTAACTCTGCTGTTTAATCTGCCATTCCTTTCTTCCTTGTTTATGTGTTACTTTCATATGGTCACATGATAAATACTAGGTATCTCTGACTCAGGTTCTTTTCTTGGCTGTAAGAGCACGATAACTGTGGACATGAATCAATGAGAAGAAACAAAAACTAAGACATAGCACCCTTGACTAAGTCTTCTTCCAAGTAAATGGCAAAATGAAAATTATGGTGAGAAGGTCATTCGTCTTTGAAGCTTTTCAACCAATAGCTTCAATAAAGTCCTAGATTCTGCCACGTAGTATGTAAAATATAGGTTTCAGTACAATACATTGCAAGTGCTGCACAAGCTATATTCAGAATGCTTTTGCTATGAACTGGATAAAAATTCACTGAATCAACAGATAATATTTAATCTGCTTTACTAAGAAAAATACATTTTCCTGGTTCTTTCAAGAAAGCTCTGAGATATTTTGAGTATTCTTAGATTGTCCATTAGATCTAAAATGTTTTATATCTTTATTAATTTTTAGGTTACAAAGAGGGATGAAACCCCAATGTTGCTGTTAAAAAAATGAAAGAAAATCTTTAAGTACTTGGCATACAGGGTTTGTTTGCCCACTGAAGACTGAGGCCCTTGAGTTACTCTCTGGCCACTGTGCCTGCCCATAGTTCTTGTGAGAGTTCCTCCCCTTGTACATCATTCTCCATGAAGACTTCTTAGTCCTGAGCTCCAGAATGTTTAACGCCTGCAGCCCATATATTCGTCTTTCCTTGTAGTTATGTTCCCTGTGTCATCTCTGCAGATAGACAAGGAATGCCAATCCCTGTCACTGGGATCTGAGTGGCTGGAATAGATGTCACCATCTCTCCAGTAAAGAAATGTAGCGGGGACATACTTTTCTGCAGTGTGAGTCAGCTAGTCACAATGAAAGGACCTGGTTATCTTGTTTTAAGCACCCAGAATCAGAAAGTAATGAATATGGAAATCCAGCAAAGGTATTTACTTGCTCTTTTTATTCTGTAACTATTTCCAGGACTAGTGGAAGGGATAGTTGAAGGTATTAGTGAAATCTCTAAGTGAATTTATAAATAAATCATTATCCTGCTATGCACTCACCAAAGGCCAGAGAAAAATGACTTCTTGGCCTGATCCGCTGAGCCATCAGCATTTATTTGCTCATCTATGGGTTTATAATTGCAGGCTCTTGTAGCATATAATTAACACAATCCTGGCCCTTGGTGATCTCTGAACTCCATTAGCACTTGCTATTTGCTTTGCTTCCTTCATATTTTTAATCGCAAACACGTGCACAATTATGGCACACTGGAGAGGGATGCGGCATCCATACCCTATTTAAAAAACCTATCCTGTCTGTAATGGCCCCTCCCTCCCCCTACTTGATTCCAATTCAACTCAGTCCCGTCACAGCCAGTGTAACATACCATTTGACCAGAACTGGGCCCCTCCTGCAGTTCATGATATGTATGGCAGGTGCTGTGGGATGTTTTTCTATACGCTGTGAATATGTGTTGTTCTGATAGGTTAATAAAAAAAGCTGTATTGGCTTATGGCAAGGCAGCTTAGAGGCAGGCAGGAAATACAAGCAGAGAGACAGGAGGAGGCAAGGCAGAGGTAGAGGAGATGCCATCCCTCTGTCTAGGAAGCAGCATGTAATGGCACACAGGTAAAGCCATGGAACACATGGCTACATATAGATGAATAGAAATGGGCTGAGCCTAGTTATAAGAGCTAGCTAGCAAGAAGCCTGAGGCATTAGACCATATACTTTGAAAATAATACAAGCCTTTGTGTGTTTATTTGGGACCAAGTTGCTGCGGGTGCAGGTGGGAGAGATTTGTCCTGACTGCAGGGCCCGGGTGGGACACAAGAAAACTTTCAGCTACAAAAGAAAAAGAAAAACAGAAAAAGAAAAAGAGAAAAAGAGAGAGAGAGAGAGAGAGAGAGAGAGAGAGAGAGAGAGAGAGAGAGAGAGAGAGAGAAAGAGAGAGAGAGAGAGAGAAAACAACCAGGACTACTTAGGTGGATTCTTCTTTAAGAATTGGATAGTTATGTGCAAAGTGTCTCACCATAGGCACTAGGCTCCAAAAAGCCGGTTCATGCACTAGGGACAGGTCCCGATTCCACCTCCTGGGAACCCCCTATACAGTTCAAGCTCAACAACTGTCTTGCTTGTCCAGAGGGTCTAGTCCAGTACCATGGGGGTTCCTCAGCTATTGGTCCACAGTTCATGCATTTCCTCTAGTTTGGCTAGTTGTCTCTGTACTTTTTCCAGTTATGGTCTTGATATCCCTTGCTCATGGAATCACTCCTCTCTTATTAATTGGACTCCTAGAACTCCTCCTGGAATGTGGTCATGGATCTCTGCATCTGCTTCCATCTGTCACTGGATAAGGGTTCTCTGATGACAGGGTATTCAGTCATTTGATCACCAGAGTAGGTCACCTCGGGCACCCTCTTGACTATTGCCAGTAGTCTATGGTGGAGTTATCCTTGTGGATTCTTGGGAACCTCCCTAGCACTCTGCTTCTCCCTATTCCCATGGTGTCTTCATTTATCATGGTATCTCTTTCCTTACTCTCCCATTCTGTTCCCGTTCCAGCTTGAACCTCCCTCTCCTCTAAGCTCTCATCCCCACACTTTGCACAGCCTTGGTGCAGGGAGGAGGGGCTTGGACCTGCCTAAATGAAATGTACCAGGCTCTGCTGACTCCCCATGGGAGACCTTGCCTTGGAGCAGGTGGGAATGGGGAGTGGGTGATGGGGGAAGGCTGAGCGGCAGGAGGAGGGAGGACAGAGGAATCTGTGGTTGGTATGTAAAATGAATAGAAAATCATTAATAGAAAAAAAGAATTGGATAATTATGAATAAAGGTAAAGAAAGAGAAATTAGCTGGCAGTATAAGGAAATGCAGACACACAGAGAGTCACTGCAGAGGCATATTCTAACTATAGAGAACCAGAGTGAACCTCTACTACACATGTCCAAATGCATACAAGTTCACAGTCTGGGTTCTTGCTAGAATAATAATCTAGGTTCACCCCATAAGGCAGCCTAGGAGGAGTATGTAAGCCATTGAACTTCCCTGATTATTCCCTTGTGACCTTTGTTGTACAATGAAAATAAACTACAAACCTCCTGCCTTATCTCCTTGGCAGAGCTTAGGTCAGATCTCTTGCTTGCAATTAGAAAAAACAAAAGAGACACTTTCAGTGACTGCAAGTAGATTATGCTGCTCAGGAAAAGTGCCAAACCTTGACTCCATGAAATCTCACAGAATCTGAGGCCAGGACCAAGCCAATCCTGTCTTTCAAATGTTGATATTTGGTTTATGACTGGTTCTTTTGCATTAATTTTATTTTTAAATATTGCATTAAAATTTTATTAGTACTGAGTTTTGTTGGTGTTCCTTTAAATTTTGCACCTGGAGTGAATATTTAATGTCTTAGCTTAGCTCAGGGTTCTTACTGTGCAATGCCCCAATGGCAGCCATTATTATCATGGTTATTTTCTGAAATTCAATTCTCCAGGAATGCATAGCTCTTCAGAAGATCTCTTTCTACATGAGAATACATGGAGACACACTCTTCACCACTCATCCCAAACCAGGCATGTT